ACTGTATAATATGCATACATTTTTCTTGTTATGGCCTGATTGGGTGATAACAATGTTTTCTGCTTTTTTTGTGACTTGTACTTAATAGCCTGGAAATAAAATAACTAAAGAGTTATTAACAACTATGTAACTATGTAGTTACAAATTAACAACACATGACACAACAGTGTAACAACCAGTACAGTAGTAGATTACAGTAGTATAGCATGTAATTACATGGGTGTATCCTGACCATTGCAACAACATATCCTCTCATCTCATCTCAGCCGCTTATCCTCCTGGGTCGTAGAGGGTGCTGGAGCCTGTCCCAGCACTCACTGGGAGGAAAGCAGGAAACATGTTGGATAGGTGACTAATCCGTCACAGGGCAGCAAGAACATATTGTAACAACATATTAATTACTATCTTATGTTATGCAATAAGGTGAACTGCTCTTTTTCCAAGAACACTTTTCTGATTGTAACAGGGGGAGTCTAACTAGATGGACACCATATGCCCACATGTATTTAAAATAACTTTTATGTATTTAATTAAAACATGCAACAGGGTCCAAATGTCTCAGACCACAGGTAAAAATACTTTACAAAATATTGTACATTCTGTAACTCTTTATTTGGATCGTCCACTTTAGATGCTTTGTAGATACTTAATTTACTTTCAGGTTACATTCAACTGAATATCTACTAAACTGACCATAATTTTCTGTAACTCTAAATCTAGCTCTAATCCTAACCCTAATCTTAATCTCAACCCAAAACCTAAACCCAACCCTCACCCTGGTCCTAGCTCTAACCCTGGTCCAGATCCTAACCCTAACCCCACCACTGTTTAGAATCAACTGAGTTTCAGCAGATAGTTGGTTTGAACATCTGTATAATCTATAGGGGACTACAGTGGACTATCCAAATGAAATGAGACCAATAATTCTAAACGTTTCTGTTGTTTATTTAAAGCTAAGTTGATATATATGTCCACTTAAGTATTACTGTAATCCATCTGTAGCAGTGAACACATCACCAGTAGTTACATTGTTGTTGCCATGTTTTTAATATGTAACTACACAGTTATTAGAGACACAATATACAGTGGAAACAATACACTCAATATTTCAAACTCGTTTTCTTACTTTTGGATGAATCTTAAACAGACCTTTGCTGTTCGAATGCTAACACTGCTCTGATATTAACATGCTGGACTTCTTGTTACTGAATGCCTGAGCCTACATAATGACCTTTTCCCATTCATCTGTGAGAGATTTTGTAACTAAACACACTAGAACCATTGTGCTCACAATTGGCCCTGGAGATGTACCAGCATTCATAGTTCAGCTTTAACCTTGATTTAGTGCCACCTATCCGAGGTCTTCTTGAGCATCTGAATATCAGAAGCAGGTGGGTTAGACGATGGTAGCAGCCAAACTCTGCAGGATGCTCAATCTCCGTGTGTCGAGTCATTCCAAAGGCATTTTTACCCAGTAAGTCTCCAGCACTTTGGATTCGAATGGCGCAACAAGAACAAGTATACTATGTGTATCCACTTTATTAAAAACACCTACTTCATACTTCCACACAATGGCGTCTTTATTCGAAACAGCCACACTGCAGTTCCTCTCACTGGCCACTTTATTAGAAACATCACCTTTGTATTTGCACTTTCTGGCTGCTTTACTGCAAACCCCTACACTGTGGTTTCACTCATTGGCCTCTTTATTAGAAAGACCTGCCTTCTATGTCCACTCACTGGCCATTTTATTAGAAACCCCAACCTTGTACTTCCATCTACTGGTCACTTTATTAGAAACACCTAGCTTGTACTTCACTGGCCACTATATTAGAAATGCTTGCCTTGTATTTCAATTCACAGGCCACTTTATTTGAAACACCTACCTTGTACTTCCACTTACTGGCCACTTAACTAAAAACAACTACCTGGTGCTTCAATGGCCACTTCATTAGAAACACCTGCCTTGTACTTCAACTCGCTGGCCACTTTATTAGAAAACCCAACCTTGTACTTCCACTTACTGGCCACTTATTAGAAACAGCTACTCGGCACTTCACTGGCCACTATATTAGAAACACCTGCCTTGTACTTCCTCATTGGCCACTTTATTAGAAAGCCCACCTTGTACTTCCACTTACTGGCCATTTAACTAAAAACACCTACTTGGTGCTTCACTGGCCACTTTATTTGAAACACCCGCCTTGTACTTCTACTGAGTGGCAACTTTATGGTAAAGTAGATCCGCTTACACACAAATACTACAGCTTATAAGTGTGCAGTTACAGGCTGTAGTCCATCTGTTTCTGTAGCCCTCCTTTACCTCATTCATCATTGGTCAGTTTCTGACCACAGGACAGCTTTCGTATGGATATTATTTCTGTGGTGGTCCGTTCTCAGCACAGCAGCGACACTGACATGGTATTGTGTGTGTGGTGCTGGTATGAGTGTATCTGACACAGTGATGTGGTTGGGGTGTTCCAAGGTTGAGAGTGGACCACTACTCCAAAAACATTCTGCTAAGAGCAGCTCTGTGGTCCAAAACTGACCACTAATGGAGGGCTAGAGGACTTAAACTGTGCATCAAAAGATGAGCAGGGTCTCTAAATAAACACCAGCAAGGTGGAGCTAAAAGAGAAGGGTTTCTAATAAAGCGGCCAAAAAGTTGACTTCTGTAATAACAATAATACCAGACGTAAACATTTTCTATTCAAAATAAACAAGTTTCGGAAACAACTAAATGAACTACATTCCATATGATTTCCTAAATGATTCATTGATTCCAATTTGATGTTTTCCAAAGGAGTCATTTAACTACTCATATCTGATTCCAAAACCATTCCTAAAGGAGTCCTCTGAGAGTCATTTAAGGGATTGGCTATGTGTAATTCCCAAATGGTCCGTTCAAGCAAATATCTCTGACTCAGCGTGAGGAGCATAAATTCATCTAAAGGTACAAAACATTGAATCCCAGGAGTCATATTTGCAGTAAGAGGACAACACAGACATGACTCACGCAAATCGTTTTCATATTTTTTCAACAGCTTATTTGTTTTCTTTGCATCACCCCATGAAATCCACTGCCAAAATGAATATAAGAAACTGAGAAATATTCAGAGCAATAAAACAACGATCCAGCACTATAAAATGTTGAAGACCCTCATAAAGAATCTCAGTATGCTGTTTAGAGAAGATGGCGATGTTCTGTCAGATTTGTGAGAAGATTGTAGATTTAGAGCCCCTGAGCCACAGAGCGAAAACACCAGGAGACGCAGAGGAGCATGGACTAACTTGGCAAGGGATGTATAAGCGCTCCCCAGCTGCTGTGTAGAAATGTAACAATCTTCTGAACTCAACTGTTCTGAAGTCCAGTAACACATCAGTATAGGAGGACATTATGCTCTTAAAATGCACTTATTAAGCCTTGAAATTAACCATTTGTCTTTATTTAGAGCTATTTGATGATTTATTATTAAGATACTGATATGACTCGAAATAAATTCTAGATGCAATGCTTAGGTAAGGGTCGTGCACAATACTTTAATGTATAATAAACAAAATAAAAGTAACCCTGGAAAGTAACTCATTCTAGTTATTGCCTAATAATAATAGTAGTATTAACGTCCAGCTTGTTCAGCCTTATTACCCAAGTGCACTTACCCCAGATGTGGTCGATCAGCCAAGACATATTTGGAGTCCAAATTTGGCTTCTTTAGTTTAGAAGTGAAACTACAAGGTTAATATTGCTAACACTGGAAGTCAATAGTCACCCAAATCTCTTCTGTCAATACATCTCCAACACTTCTCTCAACCCTCTCAAAGTCCATTGTGGTGCAGTTTGGAATGCAGTACGAGGTCCGAGATGTCATAAACAGTGTAATGTGTTATAGCCTCAGTGGACTGTAAAGTTCAGAGCATACAGAACACATTTAATTGTGCATTAAACTACATTCTTCGCTATTTTTACATGTCTTATTATGCCTTTATTAAGAGCTATCAGTTAATGTGGGCATTATAACAAGCCCCTCTACTGACGTGCTACAATTAGTCCTACTGTAAAAACACCCCAACAATAACATACATATTTTATGGATATCTTGTGTTTACTGGAGAAAGTTTGGTTGATTTGTTGGAGAAATTTTATGTTGTTGAAGAATGTTTGGGTTTGCTGGAATTGCTAAAGTATAAGAGTAGAAATTTTGATTTTGTTGAATGTTTTTTTGGTGATTTCTGGAAAATGTTTTTTGTTTTTTGTTTCATTGTTGGTGGTTCATGGTTAGAATGCCACAAGAATTCTGCACAGGTTTTATAGATAATGCTTGAGTTTATGGGAGAAAGTTTGGTTGGTTTGGAGAAATGTAATGTTTGTTGGAGAATGTTTGGGTTTGTTTGAATATTTGGCTATTTTAATGTTGGCTGGAGAATGTTTTTGTTTTTTTGGTGTCATTAATGCTTAGTGTAGTGTTTACTGCAGACAGTTTGACTGGTTTGTTGAGGACATTTTATGCTTGTCAGGGAGTGTTTGTTGGTGTTTATAGAACATTTAGGCTTGTTTGAAAATGACTGAGTTTGTCTGCATATTTAGGTTTGTTGTTTGTTTTAGAATGTTTGGGATTGTTGGTGTTTGCAGAATCATTTGGCCTGATTTAAGGTTGGAATTTGTAGAACTGTTGGGTTTGTATGAGAATTCTTTGTTGTAGAATGTTTGGGGTTCTTGGAAAATGTTGAGTTTGTTGGTGTTAGGAATTGTGTGAATGCTTGAGTTAGAATGTTTGTGTTTGTTGGTTCTTTTCAGTTTCTTTGAGAACTCAGTTCAGTTGGAGAATGAGTTTGCTGGTGTTTGTTGGAGAATTCGTGTCATTTTTGGTGCTTTTTAACATAATCATAGCGGTTTGGTGTTGGGGACCACCAGTAGAGCATTATTGTTGAGAGTGCAGACTTAATATACAAGACAAGGCCATGCAATGCTTTAGCTGGGAGACACATATACAAACGAAAAATCATTTTACATACCCGCCAAGATATTTCCAGGGGTGTTTTATTCCTGGTTAAATAATACAATTTGAGAGGGAAAAAATTGTACATGCACATTAACACAAACATATATACACACCAAAAAACTCAATGTCAGTCAGAAAAATCGACTGCTCTAACTATACACAAAGCTTTCCAACAAAAGCACTGCTGACTGCTCTCTCCTGTACACTAGGGCTGCCAAGCCAGTAATCACTTGACCATTCATTGGTCCTCGTTCACCAATATCTTACACTTTTTCTTAAATTTATTCTTGAGAAAAATTCTAAGAAAAAGTCCACGTCAGATTCATGACGTGTTCTTAAACCGCAGAACTGTTCACACCTTTGTGCTTTTGAGTGTGAGTAGATTCTGTTCTTACCTAAGAACAAATCCCAAATAAGAAAAAGCTGGTGAATGTCAGGATCTTCGTGAAAACTGCGTAAGTGGGTTTTAAGAAGAAATTTCTTCTTAAGAACGGTTGGCGAATGAAGCCCATCGTTGTTAATAAAGATGGAGTTCTATATGCCCAAATCACTTCACTGAAAATGCAATGTTCTTAAGGTTTATCTGGAAACTTTTGACAGGCAGTTTATAGAGCAATATCATAATAAAACTCTCACACTGTGCCCAATATTTATCAGTGTAGAAATTATTACATTGTATCATTTTTGCCCTGGTGGTTGGTGAGAAGACAGATGGAACTGACAGCCCTACTATACACATGTGGAAGACACACTGCCTCATGGGCTACGACAGAGTCAGGCCATAACAGAAATGGCCCAACAGAGCATGCCGTTCAAACAAGCAGCAAACAAAACGACTCCCTGCACAATCAAGGGGAAAGGCCTTAGAACAATGTCCAACAGCTGTCAATCAAACGTAAACATCATCCAATCAGCTTCTCAGGAACTAATTTTCCCATCCATAAGTCTTTGACTGCATTCTATTTGTCTTCATTTTTTTTTTTTTTTACAAAACATGACTTCACAATAAGCTGGACAAAGTGTCTGAAATTTGTTCGGCGCTAGAGCTATGAGGCTAATGCAGCTAATAGGTAATGAAACCTTATGTACACCAATTGGTGCTAACTGCACGTGTAATCCTGTGATTTCTAATGGCACATTGTTATCTACAAACATGGACTAAAGTATATTAGCGTAGCTAAAAACAGTAGCAGCCATCTTTAAGCCCGATTTTTTTTTTCATTTTATAGATGGATATTTTATAGCTGGGGCCAGTCGTGAGCTGGAGGTTACAGAACCAGCCTTGTGATCGGAAGGTTGCTGGTTCGATCCCCTCAGCCAACAGTACGTGACTGAAGGGCCCTTGAGCAAGACACCTCACCCCCAACTGCTCCCCGGGCGCCGTGGATAGGGCTGCCCACCACTCTGGGCAAGTGTGCTCACTGCCCCCTAGTGTGCATGTATGTGGGTGTTTCACTGCATGGATGGGTTAAATGCGGAGGTCTAATTCCTCTGTGTGCAAACAGAGTTGGCTAAAGGTTCTGAATTCTATTCGATATCTTGGCTGATCAACAATGGTTGAGAAATCTTCTTAAGAAAACACTGTGTCTTTTACTAACCTAATAGAAGGAAAAGCTTTCTTAGCATCTGTAGGAAGTTACATTTAAAGTTTCGCTTTCACTCAAAATGTCTACTGATCTGATCAGGTGTATGAATAAACGAGAAAAGGAAAGAAATGGATTTACGAGATTTTCGTCTCAGCTGAAATTTTCAAATGCTGCAAAAAATATACAAAAACCAAACAAAGTTATGAGGTTTTCTCAAGGCAGCAAAGTCCTCCTCTATGAAACCCTCAGAGGTTTGTTCTGAGCCTGTGTCCGCACCGTGCATGGTCCAGTTAAGGTGGGCGTGGTCAGTCCGTGTCTATATGGCAGGGGTTGCTTCCTGCCAACATGGCGGAGCGGTACACCTGAAGGAAGTCTTTATATCTTGGAGCACAGCCAAGCCACGCCTCCCCAAACATCACTGACCCAGTGAACAGAAACTCCGCCCCCTGTTCGATCCTCAGTCCGCACTTCCGCGGAACATTCACGTGACCTGTCCATCGGCTGCTCCCGCGGGTCCCACCGCCTGCCGGTATGAACACACGCTTCTTCTGACGGTACACGCGACTGGACAACACCACCAACGACGCCCGATCTTCATCATCACCAGCTTGTTCTATGGCCTGGATGCTGCCCCTCACCACTGAAAGATGCAGAGAAAGATATAGACTATTCCGTAACTACTATACATTATTCATTAACTACAATAAATTATTCAGTATTTAATATAAATTATCCAGTATCTATCATAAATTATTAGTAACTATTATTAATTATTCAGTATGTAATATAAATTACTCAGTGTCTACTTTATTAGTAACGACTATAAATTATTTAGTATCTACTGTAAATTATTCAGTATAAACTAAATTATTAGTAACTACTATCAATTATTCAGTATCTAATATTAATTATTCAGTATCTACTATAAACTATTCAGTACTAAAAATGTCTACCAGTTACTATAGTAATGACTATAAACTATTCGGTAACTTCTATAAATGATTCAGTATCTACTACAAATTATTCAGTAAGTACTATTAATTATTCTACTATGAATTATTCAGTACTCTAAATTATACACTATTTAGTAGAAATAATTCAGTATCTATTATTGATTATTCAGTATCTACTACCAATTGTTCAGTAACTAATATAATGGATAATTATATTATTTCCTAAATTAGCATCTCATATAAACGACTCAGTAATTTAATTCAGTAATATGAGAATAGTGGATACTGATGTCGTACCAAAGTCGCTGGTGCAGACGGCCATGAGAATCTGTTCATCAGTGCAGGGTCTGCATGGAGCTGAAACACACAAACACACACACCATCAGCTTCACACACTCGCGAACAACAACAGCAATTCATGTTCAAGTTTCAGTGACATCTCCAGATCATCACTGAACACATCACAGTGATATGTGGACTGAGTTCAGGCTCAGGTTTGGCTGTTGATGCTGTTGTGAGCTGTGATAATGTACTTCTGTCTATGTTTATAGAGGACAGTGTATCACAGAGTGTCAGAAACCACACAATCAAGCGTGTTAGAGTTCTGAGCAACCTGTCGTGAGTGTGAGGTGCAGCTGTTATCTGTTACGACAAGCTGTTCACACCTACGCACCTCTTACACCCCTCCCCCCTGTGTCTGTGGGTCAACGGCTAGCCAGACTTTTAGTATTTTAGGGGGCCCTGGTCACAGAGTGGAAGTGGGGGTGGGGGACAGCTAGGAAGCATCATGTTCTAGAAACTTTGCTATAGTGAGGGTGACAACAACTAACTTGCATGCTTTGCTGTAGATTTCAGATCCAGAAAGGCAAAACAATTACATTTAAACACAACACAGAATTGTTAACCAGGGGCTGTATTACAGAAACTTCCTGTATTTTTGTCTTAAGTTGTTTTTTTGACAGGTCAAGATAGGATTTTTCACAAATTCATATTACAGAAGCAAATCTGATCTTCATTTAGGAGTCTTATCTTACAGCATCTTATCTCAAGGAAACCTTAACCTACTCAATCACAGTTGACAAGTAACTGTCGTGTCGACCATACGCACACAGCTGAAATGTAAACACGCCACCAAAATGATCACTGCTTTGATTGCGTGTTACTGTTACAAAAAGGTCATACAGGATATAAAGGTCATAAAGGAATACTGTGAGAGCGCCCCCTGCTGTTTATCAGAGCCTCGCCGCTCCCCAGTTTCAGTCTCCATTTCCCAAATGCTTTAGCCGAGCGTGCTAACATTATTCCTCCTAATAAACAGACACACGTTCAGCTCTGTCTCCACATTATTCACTACCATCACTGTAATATTTTATCATCAACATTAACACAAAGGTAATAAGAGGGGGTGGTGGAGATCAAGTCACAGCACCGTTTTCAGTGTAGATAAATGTAGCGTCATTATGCCAGTTATAGTGAACTATGCAGCTTGACACTGCATAAAACAATAGAAACAGGCAGTTCAAACATAAGTTAAGACTGGGTTTTATCCTTTGAGTACAAGATTCTTCTACTGACGTATAAAGCTCTGAATGGCCTTGCTCCTCAGTACCTCAGTGACCTTGTTTCCTATTATCAACCGACACTCCCACTTAGAACACAAGGTGCTGCTCATTATTAGTACCTAGAATAAATAAAGTTACGTCAGGGGGAGGAGCCTTTTCATACAAAGCCCCCCAGCTTTGGAATAACCTACCAGTCTGTGTTCAGGACTCAGACACAGCCTCCATGTTTAAGTCTAGGCTAAAAACTTACCTGTTTAGTCGAGCCTTTGGTTAATTTGTTTTCCTAACTATCTGTCCCCCTTAACCCCCCCCCATCCCCCCTTTTCCCCCTCCCCCTCTCTTTCCCTGAGCTGAGCGGCTGCCTGTCCTAAGAGGGTCTGACCTGAGATGCGGCCGGCGCACTGCACAGTGGTGTTAAACTGTATCCACTTATATTGTTTTGTGTCTGTGCTGTTATCGGAGGATGGGTTCCCCTTTTGAGTCTGGTTCCTCTCGAGGTTTCTTCCTCCAGTTGAGGGAGTTTTTTCCTTGCCACTGTCACCAAGGCTTGCTCACTGGGGGCGCGGACCCGGATTCTCTGTAAAGCTGCTTTGTGACAACATCTGTTGTAAAAGGCGCTATATAAATAAATTTGACTTGACTTGACTAAAGTTAGTACAGTATTTAGGAGATTTAGTCTAGTTAGGATGTTTGTGATCAGATTATGAACTTAAGAACTGCTGTTCTGTAACAGCTTCTGTCTTAAATTCAGTCCTAACTTAAGTTGTCATGGTGACTAAACAGATAAGATTTCAGACTTAAGAAGTTTCTGTAATACAGCCTCTGGTATTTAACTGCCAATCAACCTAAGTTGTACAGAACTGGCAACAGCTGTCTGATGTGAATGTTTAAAGACTGTGATTTTCTTGTTTTTTTGCAGTACTAAACTTTCAATTTCTTTACCATAGACACTGAACTCGCCACAGCTTTGTGAGTATCCTACACAATAACCAGCACTGCTCAGCTCTGTTTCCACAGTCTGCAGGCACAGTCAAGCAGGCTAATGCTGTGTTTACATGCTGGTGTTAAAGACTTGTTGGGAAGCAATGGCAGTTTGTGGCTGCATGCAGTTGGCTGCTGAACATCTGTGATGATCAAAGGAGAGCTTTGTGGGGTCACTTTTAATCACTATCGGAAACCTTGTATCTCCAAAATGGTAACTTTACAGGAGAAGGAAAAAACTTACTTTACTTTTAATGTAAGTCAATGGAACCAGACTTATTTGCAAGTCATTTTGGGCCGTTTCTTTTGGTCCATTTATCATGAAATTTACACACAATATAAAGGGCAACAGGCAATTTCAAATTATGTGAAAAACGGAAAAATGACAAAAGTGGAGATACAAGGATTTGTTCCAGTGATATGATATGTAGCTGTGTTTGTATTTGTTTGTTATGCTATGTTTGTACAGTAAGGTAGCCCAGGATTCTAAATAAACTTTTACTAATATTATATATTATTAGGGTCTTTTTAAAATACTGATAGACCAGTCTGAACCCTTTAACCCCTGAGTGTGTCTGCATATGGGCCCTTCTACAGTTCAAGGGGTTTTAAAAGTCAGTTAACATGAAAGTCCTTTTCACACATTTATACATGCCGTGAAAATCTCGTTAAACAGGAGATGATGTCAGCTTAAATAGCCAATAGCTCCTTCATTTCTGAATAATTTAAAAAATACACTTCCACAACTTTTTTTCCGTGAAAAAACAAAACACTTAACTGTAAAAACTGCACTCTAGCAGCCGTATATTTCACTGTAATAGTTAATAGAGCTCTATTACCATTTATAAACGCTTTACGACTGTGTAATAAGTGATTCGTAGCAACGTGCAGTAAGAAAACCTAGAAGAAAATTGAGTTATCTAGAGCATTTGTGAGTTTAATTACACAGAGTTTTATACAGTGAATCTGATTTGCATTCAATTTGACATTTCAGTGTCTAGAAATGACAAATCTTCATCGAATTTAAACCATAATAAAATCTCTTCCACTCACAAACAAATATGGTCTGGATTAAAAGATTAGAATCTGCACTTTCAACACAGTTGAGTCAGAAATAATTCATATAAAATTATAATTGGTCTATGAAGCTTTCTAGGTGTAACTGTATCTACAGGAGTTTAACTCCAAACCCAGCCAGCCCCTTCCTCTCTCTCTCTCTCTCTCTCTAATCCCTGTAGACTCATCAGAGAACTCTGAGTGAAGCCAACAGGTGAGAAACTTCATTCTGTTTTACTGCTCAAATAACCAGAGACAGAAAGAGAGAGAGAGAAGAGAAGCGAAGAGAAAAGGAGAGGGAGAAAGAAGAGAAAAGGAAAAAGTGAGTAAAGGAATGCCAGGAAAGACAGATGTGTTAACGGCCAAATACATGCAAATGATCTGATTCTACAGTAATTCACAGCTCAGGCTGCTGTTTCAGTTTTTAAGGTGTTTAAAGTTCTGCCTGTTCAGACTATAAACTTTAGAGAAGCTCTTTGATGAGAAGCTCTTTGTTCTGATAATTACTAACAGTGATTTAAACAAGCTGCTCTACCTGCTCAGCCAATAAAAAAAACACCTTTCATCCCAGACCGACCAATCAGAGTGGAGGGTAGCCCTCATTAACGCAGTCAGAGTGAGTGGAGTCAGCGGCGTAATCCGGTGTAACACTGTGACCTCCTGATTACTCTGTTTATTTTCTTCTGTCACTGAGAACACGGCGAGGGAGGGGGAGGAGGAGAGGGAGGAGGAGGAGGAGTATAAACTCTCCACGGCTGTACAAACTCTCTGCTTTCACCCCTTACACTCTTTCGTCTGAAGACAAGGGCTCATTTGTAGCTGTCGCTTTACCCCCCCCCACCTTCTCTTCCCCTCCCCTCTGCCTCACACCACCGTCTCAGCCCCTTTCCTTTTACCTTTCTCTCTCTCTCTCTCTCTCTCTCTCTCTCTCGCTCTCTCTTCTTCTCGGTTCTTTTCTTTTTCCTCTCTCTCTCTCTCTCTCTCTCTCTCTCTCCCCCCGTCTTGGTCCTTTTCTTTTTCCTCTCTCTTTCTCTCTCTCTCTCTCCCTGTCTTGGTCCTTTTCTTTTTCCTCTCGCTCTATCTCTCTCTCTGTCTCTCTCTCTCTCTCTCTCTCTCTCTCTCTCTCTCTCTCTCTCCTTCTCGGTTCTTTTCTTTTTCCTCTCTCTCTCTCTGTCTCTCTCCCCCTGTCTTGGTCCTTTTACCTCTCGCTGTCTCTCGCTCTCTCTCTCTCTGTCTCTCTCCCCCTGTCTTGGTCCTTTTCTGTTTCCTCTCGCTCTCTCTCTCTCTCTCTCTCTCTCCCCCTGTCTTGGTCCTTTTCTTTTTCCCCTCTCTGTCTCTCTCTCTCTCTCTCTCTCTCCCTGTCTTGGTCTTTTTCTTTTACCTCTCGCTCTCTCTCTCTCTCTCTGTCTCTCTCCGCCTGTCTTGGTCCTTTTACCTCTCGCTGTCTCTCGCTCTCTCTCTCTCTGTCTCTCTCCCCCTGTCTTGGTCCTTTTCTGTTTCCTCTCGCTCTCTCTCGCTCTCTCTCTCTCTCTCCCCCTGTCTTGGTCCTTTTCTTTTTCCCCTCTCTGTCTCTCTCTCTCTCTGTCTCTCTCCCCCTGTCTTGGTCCTTTTCTTTTACCTCTCGCTCTCTCTCTCTCTCTCTGTCTCTCTCCCCCTGTCTTGGTCCTTTTACCTCTCGCTGTCTCTCTCTCTCTCTCTCTCTGTCTCTCTCCCCCTGTCTTGGTCCTTTTCTGTTTCCTCTCGCTCTCTCTCGCTCTCTCTCTCTCTCTCTCCCCCTGTCTTGGTCCTTTTCTTTTTCCCCTCTCTGTCTCTCTCTCTCTCTCTCTCTCCCTGTCTTGGTCCTTTTCTTTTTCCTCTCACTCTATCTCTCTCTCTCTCTCTCTCTCTCTTTCTCTCTCTCTCGCTCTCTTTCTCTCTCTCTCTCTCCCTGTCTTGGTCCTTTTCTTTTCTCTCTCTCTCTCTCTCTCTCTCCCCGTCTTGGTCTCTCTCTCTCTCTCTCCTCTCTCCCTCCCCGTCTTGGTCCTTTTCTTTTTCCTCTCTCTCTCTCTCTCTCTCTCTCTCTCTCTCTCTCTCTCTCTCCCTGTCTTGGTCCTTTTCTTTTTCCTCTCTCTCTCTCTCTCTCTCTCTCTCTCTCTCTCTCTCTCCCTGTCTTGGTCCTTTTCTTTTTCCTCTCTCTCTCTCTCTCTTTGTAAATTATTTTTTGATATCAACTATTACTATTATTCAATACCTATAATGAACTATTCAATGTCTACTATAAATTCAGAGATGACAAAATTATTAATCATCTACAAAATATTAATCCATATCTACTATTAATTATTCAGGATATGCTGTTAATTACTGAGTAACTGTGATCAGTCATTCAGTAACAACTATAAACCCCTTAACATTCCAGGCTTTTTACATACTAAGGCTTATTATTCAGTAACTACAGGGACTTCACTGCAAACTAATGGAGCTATTCTTAGCTTATAAAAGTGTGTTATAAAAGGGGTTCATTAAGTAGTTAATTAAGCACTGAACTGAAGTGTGAACTTACACGTGTCTCTTAGGGTTTGAAGTAAAAAGTTAGTTCCAGCAGTTTCAGAGTAAAGTGACCGCTGCCGTTGGTTCAGTGGTCAGTAGAGCGATACAGGTGTGGTGAAAAACTGCTGTTGTCAGATATTTCAGCCAGTCAGACTGTGTGGGCGGAGCTAATGTGTTGTACCTGTGGGTGAATACGGTTGGTCTCCAGTCTCTCCGTTGATCAGCTGATACTGGAAGGCGGTGACCCTCTTGCTGATGTCGGTATGTGCTGTAGCCTCTATAAACAGCGCCCTCTGCTGCTGGAGGGAAAAGCAGCGCTGTCGTCCGGCCGCCTGATCTTCTTCGCTCAGCAGCAGCGTCAGCTCACCGTCTCGCCACAGGTAAACGGAGGCGCCGCTGGAGCCGGGCCGCGGCCGCAGGCACACCGTCTGTGCGTGTTTTGGGGTCAGCAGGGGGTCCGTGTTGGGCCTCATGTTGACTATGACTGCTCCGGTGGGGTAGAGCCACTCCAGAGAGCCTTCAGAACAGCGCAGATACACCTGCTCCACATCCCGCACGTGAGACTGATGAGTTAGACCACTACGGAAAGAGAGAGAGAGAGAGAGAGAGAGAGAGAGAGAGAGAGAGAGAAAGAGAGCATCATAGATTTAACACTAAGCACCACAGATTGTTCCAGGTTTCAGGTAGTCCCACAGCATATTCAGCTACTTCCTCCCTTCACACGCCCAAATGCAATCACTCCTTTTTGCCAGTCATTAACATCTGTTTTGTGACCTGTTTTCCACACATCAAACGAGACATTCACTGCACTGTACCACCTTTTCTCAATCTATGAATCCCATCACACACCCTGCAGGTATTTATAGCCCGATCATCCTTTAATTAACATCCTTTAATTTGCTAATTTTACATCATGAATTACATTTTATATTCATAGGGTTGTCATCTACACAACCACTTTTTCAGTGCGCTATGATTAAAAAATAATTCATATAAAATTACAGTTGGTCTATGAAGCTTGTTCAGACATCTCTTGGAGGCTCTCGAAGTGGAACAACTGTGTTGTTACTTTTGTTAGTTTTTTTTTTATATATTATTATTTTTCCTCTATGTTCTTCCCAATTTAGTCATATCCAATTCCTTCCACTAGTTGGGTCTCCCCCACTCGCATGATACCACCAGGAATAAGAGGGCAAAGGCTAGCACAGGCTTTCTCGAAGACCTGCAAAGTGCCACTACATCTTTTCCAACTGCCGCTGACACAACGTCATCACACAGCCGAACTGTACTCGGAGGAAAGGGTGCTTCAGATTGATAGAGAATGTGCTGTACTTTACAGAACCTTTCTGAAAACGGTTCTATATAGCATCAAAAAGCGTTCTGCTATTGTTGCAGCATCAAGCTTGTAACAACAGAACAACTCTTTTTAGAGCTATATAGAACCCTTTCCATAAAGGATCTATAAAGAAAAACATCTACAACACATTCTTGATCAACCTGAAGAGCGATTTCACATTTTTCACTTTGAGTGTAGCTCTCTAGCTATCATAGCTAGCCAGCCAGTCAGCTAGCATTAACCTGATTGCTGTTTGAACAGCGGCTTTTGCCAAAGTTTGTTATTTTTCGTATTTAGCAATATATTATATAAAAAAAAATATGAGCTACTACAAATACTAACTAGTTTTGCTGACCAGTGGAATAACCTGATGTGCTGCTTGAGACTTTTTTTTAATTTCTTTGTGGAAGTTTCAGGAACCTTAAACCTACACAGCCTAGTGCTTTCAGAGTAGCTCCTGAAGAGTTCTTAGTATTTAAGCTCTAAGATGCATAATGAGCCCAGAGTCTGATATGCTGAAAGCTGATTACAGACTTCTGACATAGAAACCCAGATGTAAACTCACTTCCGCTACTCTTGGGCCTGAAAGCGGGTGATCAAAGCGTGGTTTTATTTCAGCCTAAGTGTGCCGTGGTTCATCTGGGTCAAATCCAGGGTGAGGCCAGTTAGAGTCTGCCTTTATGGACTTAGAGTTTTAAAGATTAACCAGGTCTAAGGTGTTGTGTTTGTTCTTACAATAATAATAAACCTGCCTTGGTCTTGCTCACATGCTTAAACAGGATGTCCAGTCTGTAAGTCGTATCATTGTCAGCTCAGTAAGGCTATGACATTAGTCAGTTATACTCAATTACTCCATTACAAAGAAGCAATACATAAAATATACCGATGAGCATCAGTAGGGGTAAGTTGGCAATTTGCATGGTGATAATGTATAGTTCAAATTCTTCTACTGCCTAATGGACACAGCCATTTATTCACTTTTTTTTTTATAACACAGAAGCCTCAACTAAATTTATATTGCCATTTTTCCATAGTTAATATGTCCACTCTTTTTTTACAGCAAAGGAGAGTTACTTTCAGTTTTTCAAAGAAATCTGCAGGGATATTTTTCCACAATTCCAAAGTTCAGTCCTAGAAGTTGGTTCCCACATTTTCCAAACACACTCAGTGATGTTGAGGTCTGGACTCTGGGGTGGTCAGTCCATCGTTCAGCTTCTTTGTTTGATGTGTCCGTCTCCTTTTCTCAGTGAGGTTCTTCTTGATCAGCTACACATCCTTTCAGACCCATAGCACTGAGTCGTCTTCTCACAGTGGAAGGATGGACAGAAACACCTGAGGATGTTTTCAGATCTGAAGCAAGAGTGGAGCTGGATTTTGTCCTATGATGGGGACAGGTTTGGTGGTCTCCCAAGTGTTCCAGGTGGTTGTTAGGAGGCCCATTTTCTCTGTATATGTAAATGACTTTCTCCTATGCAAGTGGATCATCTAAAAAGAGTGAGCTGAACTTGAGCCATTTAAATAAATGAAGGCTGGTCTCTGATTTTGAACTGGTCTTGGAAAGGCAATGCATGGTTTATGTTCATTTTAGGTCAATTTTATTGCTTGGTCTTTTATATCGAACTGTAATTACTCAATGAATAGACCAAAATAATCGGCTGATTACTCAATTACTTATATAACTAATATATATTTCACTTTAAAACTATTTTCTGACCAGTGAATAAATTCTACATTTGCAACCAGCAAGCACTTTTGTTCCAAACTCAACATCTGTGCTCCAGCCTGCAGCCTCGTAATTACACGCATTACACCATGATTTATCTGGAGATTAGATTACCACCCCGTCCTCTTCTCTTGGCTGTGATGGTTACAAAAAAAGGCCTTCCATCAGGAACAGAAAAATGAAAAAGAAAAAAGGGGAAAAAAAACGTTTTGACCCCTGGGGGCCCGAAGCCTGCATGACCCTCAAATCCCCCAATTTCAGCAGACTTGCTTTTAATCACTGTTATTAAATCATTATTCTGGAGGCAATTAAATGTTGGAGAGCCGAGCCCAAAACCTGGCTAATAGAGGCCAGACAAGGTCAGGAGTCAGAGGTCCAGAGTTTCAAAAGGAAGCAGGTCTGAGACAGTCTAGGAGTTCACTGCTCTAAGCTTTTGAACACAGCTTAGTCTGTTATAGTTCAAAACATTTCAATCTGGTACATCAGCCAGTCCACATTTTCATCGACTTCCACCTGAGGCAGGTACAGTCATATGCAAAAGTTTGGGCGCCCTGGGTAAAATACACTTTTTGTTGATTTTGAGCTTCCAACACACTTTTGCAATTATTTGTTGAACATATTGGGGGAAAATATCAATGTGATGTGCAATTTGTAGCACATATGAAACATTTTGTACATCTTAACACCATTAATAAACCATCCGCTGCCCTTTACATTGTTTCAAAATTCCATGAATGGACCAGTAGAAAGGTCCAAAAGATTGTTTTTATCTTGTTAAGTGGCCAGTTTTGAAATGCTAATAATCCCTTTCAATCAAAAACATCAGTAATGTTTAAGTCTATTGTAAGAGGTTTGCAAATTTTTGACATATATAGTAATTCTTAATTTATTGCTGCCACGCAAAAACCTAATTTCTCCATTTTTCTTTTTTTTTTTCTTTTTTTTTGCATAACTTAAAAGCTCCAGCTCCCCCTTTATGTTGTGTCCAAATTTCATGATGAACAGACAAATAGAAATGGAATAGTATTACTTTGAAAAATATTGTGTTACATTAACATCCATTATAAATTAAGAACATTTTTTAATTCTTCTGTGAAGTTAAAGTTTTGGAGATACAAGATTTTGTTAAGATAGGCACTATATATTTTTATAGTTTACAAATACGTAGCTACTGCTCTATCTATCTATCTATCTATCTATCTATCTATCTATACTACTATGCAAAAGTCAGAGCACCCTTCACCCATTTCATTTCCAGTCAAAACAGCATTAAGTACAAGCTAATAATTTTTTTGCCAGGAAAAAAGCAGAACACATATTCCACAAAATTACAGGTCTTAACAAGTCAATATATACATAATATTTTATATCAATAACTTTATCAGTATTTAATGTGTCCACTCTTTACCTCCATTACAGCTTCCGTTCTTTTCAGGAGACTCACACCTCCAAAGTTCAGTCTTAGAAGTTGGTTGCATTTTCTCCTTCTCATTCATGACAATGTCAAGTACAAATTTTGACTCATCAGTCCATAAAACTGTCCACATCTCAGATGTTCAGTTTGGGTGTTGCAGGGCAAAGCTAAGTAACAGGTTTTTGACAGCTACACATCCTTTCAGACACTTTCAGGAAGGATGGACAGAAGCAATTCTGAGGCAATTGCTTGTACTTAAAGACAGTTGGAAATCTTGTACTTATCTAAACAGTAGACAGCTTAAATACAGTAGAATAAAGCAGCGACACTGCTGTAATTGTCCAGTTGCTGGTCGGCAGGAGCTGGACCAGAGTAATAGTCTGCCAGGCTAGCAGAGCAGATGCTGAAAGCTCTTGGTTTAGTCTCTACCTGCTGGGTCTGAATCTGAGTGAATGTGGAAACAGACACTGTGGTTTTGTAAGCAAGAGCGGTGGAGATGAACAGAGCACAGCAACAGGTCAGCAAGTCCAGCGTGAGTCCACTTAACTTCAGCATGAGTCCTGCATGACGTTGAGCTTGTGTTCTTGATGTGTGCTGAAGTCATGCTGGACTCATGCCGCTAGAGTCCCTCGTGGTTTCAGCCTGAGAACAGAGCGTCTTTAAAACAAGTTTCAGCTCCAAAAACAGTGGAAATCACTGAATCAACTCCACATAAGACACGTCCACCTCTGCTCAGCTCTTATCTGACCAGATAGCACATAGAAGAGCAGATACAGCATCCAGCATGAGTCCAGCTGAACTGGTCTGAAGTGGTCTTCAGCATGAGTCCACAGTGACTGCAGCACATGTTCCATCTATCCAGTTAACAAGCTTTATAAACCACATTCAGTCCAGCGAGAGTGCTCAGGATTTACTTCATAAGCTGGACTGAACTAGATATCAGCCTAAGTTCAAGTACAGTGACTAGAGCTACATCAATGCAAGTCCAGCATGAGTTCAGTTTCCACCAAGGTTTATATGCAGCATATCCAGCCCTCAAAACAGCCTTAAACACATAGAACAACTCACTGCTCCATGACAAAACCTGGCATCTCCAAATTAGTTACTTTAAGTGATGAGTGAAAACTACTCTCAACCTGTTAATTAGATCGTTTCAGATCATTTCTATTGGTCCATTCACTAAGGCATTGTTAGGGAAGGTAAGGGGAAGCTGGCCTTTTCAAATGGTGCAAAAAATGGAGATACAAGATTTACATCTTGACAGCAATGATTTACAATCCAGAGCTGATGACCCCCTCCAACACCCAATGTTCACTGAACCAGCTCCACATCCTGCACTTATCAGACCTCACTACACCCCCAACCAACAACCAGCAACCCAACCAGACCGTGAGCACCAGTTATGATCCAACTCCAGCAGCTCTCATGGACTCCACTCCACACTCAGCTTTCTAGAGCTGAACTACAAGAGCAGAGCGGATGTGGAGACTGAAGCTGCTGTAAAGGGCTCAATAGTTGGGTCTCATACATAGATTAAGTCTAGTCTTGGCCTACATGGCAGTTCCATTGGTAGGGATGACCATTTTCATGAAGTAGAGTGGAAAAAATAGCCTGCAAGCCTGTTTCTGTCAGCAGTATGAAATGTTGACTTAGTATCTTGAAAATTAAGATGTACTTTTTTGAAATAATGAGTTATTTTATCAAAACATTGGCTAACTGTCAAATACTCAACTAAAATTAGAGAATAACTCATTTCTATATTTCAAGAAAATAAGTCAAGATAAAATATCGACTTAATCAAGATATTAAGTCAATATTTTAAGAGACTGAGTTGTTATTTTGAGATGTTACTCAATTAACTGAAAACATGAATAATAATTTTGAGATATTAAGTTAATATTTTAAGACAATAAGTCTTTATTTTGAAATATTACGTCCATTTAGTGAAAATTAAATCCTTATTAGTGAGGTATCACTCAATAAACCTAGAAAAATACATATGAATAATTATGCAGAGATATTAAGTCAATATTTTAGGAGAATAGGTCGGTATTTTGAAATATTATGTCAATATTGCGAGAAAATAAGTCATTATTTTGAGAGATTACTCAATAAACTGAAAATGTAAGCAATTATTTACTTATTTCAAGAAATTAAGTCAATTTATTAAGTGAATAAGTCATCATTTAGAAATATTAAGTCAATATTGTGAGATGTTCTTTTGAGATATTGCTCAATAAATCGAAAATATGTCATTATTTTGAGATATTAAGTGTGCCAGAAACAGAAGGAGGAGGCGACCTGTTTTCTACTTTATCTACAGAGGCGCCGAAACGCACTGATGATTTGATGGTTTATCTGATCGGCGTCAGTCGATCAATGTTGGAACCGACTATAATCGATTATAATCGTCTTCAATAAAATAGCGATTATTCAAACATGTTAAAGCCTGTTTGTTCTCTATACTCCTCTACTGTGTTTACAGAGTCCCTCCAGTAACATCTGACTGAACTGCACTAACACCACAGAGTCGAACCGACTCGTGGTGAACTGTGAGATTGCATGATGAACCGAACCGAGTCTTAAAGAATGGTTTAATCGAATCGACTCGAGCTCTCAGATTTACGGCTCCAGCTCTTCGCCGTTAAAGTCCGTCTGCTGTTTTAATCACGGGTTAAAGTTCCTGTGTGAGTGCCGCGCGTGCTCACCTCCCCCTCCAGCTGCACTGGTCAGTGGAGTACTGCGCCGCTCCGCTCCACACACAGCCGGTCAGCAGCAGCAGCACGAGCGCGCAGGAGCACAGCGCCCTCCTCATCCTCATCCTCGTCTTCATCCTCGCTCCGCGCGCAGTGTGTGTGTTCAGCGATCAGTCCTTCAGCAGAGCAACGCCATACTGAGCGCTCAGCGCGCGCTGCTCACCCGCTTCGTACCGCCGCAGCGCACAGGAGCGCGCGAGGACAACACGAGAGTGTGCGCGCGTTACCTTCGGACTGGAGGCACGCGCCTGCCCCCACACAGGGCGGGGAGGGGAGAACACGCCCACGCGCCAGTTTTATTGGCTGCTGTCTCGCGCGCGCAGTGTGTGTGTGTGTGTGTTGAGGTGGTTCAGTGCTGTGTGTGTGTGTGTGTGAGTGTGTGTGTGTGTGTGTGTGTTGAGGTGGTTCAGTGCTGAGTGTGTGTGTGTGTGTGTGTGAGTGTGAGTGTGTGTGTGTGTGTGTGTGTGGTGTGTGTGTGTGTTGAGGTGGTTCAGTGCTGAGTGTGTGTGTGTGTGTGTGTTGAGGTGGTTCAGTGCTGAGTGTGTGTGTGTGTGTGTGTGTGTGTGTGTGTGTGTGTGTGAGTGTGTGTGTGAGTGTGTGTTGAGTGTGGTGAGTGTGTGTGTGTGTGTGTGTTGAGGTGGTTTAGTGCTGAGTGTGTGTGTGTGTGTGTGTTGAGGTGGTTTAGTGCTGAGTGTGTGTGTGTGTGTGTGAGTGTGTGTGTGTGTGTGTGTGTGTGTGTTGAGGTGGTTTAGTGCTGAGTGTGTGTGTGTGTGTGTGTGTGTGTTGAGGTGGTTTAGTGCTGAGTGTGTGTGTGTGTGAGTGTGTGTGTTGAGGTGGTTTAGTGCTGAGCGTGTGTGTGTGTGTGTGTGTGTTGAGGTGGTTTAGTGCTGAGTGTGTGTGTGTGTGTGTGTGTGTGTGTGTGTGTGTGTGTGTGTGTGTGTGTTGAGGTGGTCCAGTGCTGAGTGTGTGTGTGTGTTGAGGTGGTTTAGTGCTGAGTGTGTGTGTGTGTGTGTGTGTGTTGAGGTGGTCCAGTGCTGAGTGTGTGTGTGTGTGTGTGTGTGTGTGTGTGTGTGTGTTGAGGTGGTCCAGTGCTGAGTGTGTGTGTGTGTGTGTGTGTGTGTGTTTAGGTGGTCCAGTGCTGAGTGTGTGAGTGTGTTGAAATCTCAGGTCCATAAACAGTCGTATCGTATACACTGAGCACCGCGCGGGTGTGTATCGTATGTACCGAGCTGAAGGCTGAGCTGCACGCGCCCTGCGTTCCTCTAGAGTTACTGAGCTCCACAACACAAGCACTAAAAACACACATAGACAGATAGATAGATAGATAGACAGATAGATAGATAGTGAACCTTTTAGAATTTCCTATAATTCTGCATTAATTTGATCTAAAACTTCATCAGATTTTCACACAAGTCCTAAAAGTAGATAAAGAGAACCAAATTAAACAAATGAAACAAAAATATTAGACTTGGTCATTTATTTATTGGGGAAAATGATCCAATATTTCATATCTGTGATGGCAAAAGTATGTGAAGGTTTGCTTTCAGTATCTGGTGTGACCCTCTTGTGAAACAGTAACTGCAGTTAAATGTTTCCGGTAACTGTTGATCAGTGCTGAACATCGGTTTGGTGGAGTTTTAGCCCTCCATACAAAACAGCTTCAACTCTGTTATGTTGGTGGGTTTCCTCCCATGAACTGCTGCTTCAGGTCCTTCCACCACATTTCTATAGGATTAAAGTCAGGACTTTGACTTGGCCATTCCAAAACATTAACTTTATTCTTCTTTAAACATTCTTTGGTAGAATGTCTTGTGTGTTTAGGGCCATTGTCTCGCTGCATGACCCACAATCTCTTGAGTTTCAGCTCATGGACAGATGTCCTGATATTTTCCTTTAGAATTTACTGGTATAAGTCCATTGTGAAGCCATGCTGGCCGAGATGCAGCAAAACAGGCCCAAACCATGATACTACCACCACCATGTTTCACAGATGGGACAAGGTTTTTATGCTGGAATGCAGTGTTTTCCTTTCTCCAAACATAACACTTGGCATTTAAACCAAAAAAATCTATTTTGGTCTCATCTGTCCACAAAACATTGTTCCAATAGCCTTCTGCGATCTTTAGCTAACTGCAGACGAGAATGTTCTTTTTGGAGAGCAGCGACAATGATGGAAAAAAAGGTAAATCTAAAATACGTTTTTTGGGGGGACTATTTTGCCTCACAACACCCTGTATCCCTCCACCATGAATGGAAGTATTAAACTTTCCAGACGTCTGGTTCCTATCACGACCACTGTGAACGATTCTGACTGTAGTACTTCATACTGAAACACTCTGAATGACTTTGTTTACATCTTATTGATTAAATTATGCAGAAATTAAAAATAAACTCAGCGAAGTTGCCTTTCGATGTCATGGTCAGTAACCCGAGCATGTGTGGTTGAATGTATAAGTAACCCAGCTGGACACTAATGGAGGTGTAATCCTCTGTAATGATGGACGTTCTGACCTTTAACTTTCTCGCCAGCTTAAATATTTAGAGGGTCTGAAGTCTGACACTGAGACACACACACACACACACACACACACACACAGATAACGGGAGATGAATGAGTGTTTTAAACTAAAGATAATAACACGGTCCAATGACAGAGCCACTGTAATCAGTGCACTTATCAGTTACATTCACTGACAATAAGCAGAGTGACACTGTTCACTCGACACCTTTTCTTCAAAAGGAGCAGGACGCACTTCTAAGGGAGCGGGTCAACGCATCTGACCGGCAAACAAGTAAACACAAAACTCAGACAATCAATAAACATTTTGAAAATGACATACGTTCGACACACACTAGCACCCCGAAAGAAACCGGGCAAAACAATCATATAGCAACAACACAATCATTCATATTTCCTCAAAAATGTTTGGAAAAACTGCTGACCAGTGAAAAAAATATCCATTTTCCGTAAGAGCGCTGTTTTAATGTATGGGCAAAAGTATGGGCATCCGCAACCGAAAACAAAAATAAATACATCTTTGAGGAAAATATAAATATGGCATTTTTCTTTATATTTTCCACACATTGGGTCATTTTCCTCAATAAATAAATGACCAAGTCTAATATTTTGGTCTCATTTGTTTAATTTGGTTCTCTTAGTAAGGTGTGTCCAAAATATGACCTTTGCTTACAGTTTTGCATACGTGTTACAGAACCTGAAAGAGGCCATCTACTGTAAGCTTGTGTGCCTTTAACTCGCATTAGTCAATAAGCTGAGACTCACTCTGTGGAGCTTCTAGAGGTGTACAAATGGCTTGATCTGAGGCAGTCAATTAAAGTAAATCAATTGTGGAATTTTGGAATAGATAAATATAATAAATTCTAATTCAGTTAAAATAAAATGTAATTCTAAAAATATTTTCAAAGATAAACATCTGAAAAAAAGGAGTTCAGTATATTCATTTTATTGTCTATATCCCAGTGGCTGCCACACAACCCCAAAGCGTAATAGATCCACCTCGTACTAAACAGTGGGCAAGGTGTTCCTTTCATCAAATACTGTCCTTCTTTTCTCCAAACATACCTTTGGTGATTGTGGCCGAAGTGCCACATTTTTATTTCATCAGTTCGCAGCACTCGAGTCCAAAATGTCTCTGGTTTATGTAGATGTTGTTTTGCATACTTTAAACGCTGACTTTTGTGATGAGGTCACAGGAAAAGTTTCCTACTGATGACTCTTCCTTTCAGATCATGTGCACAGAATGCTGCACAGTACAGCAGTGCACCACCACTCCTGTGTCAGCTTAGCCTAACTGAAGGTCCTTTGCTGTGATATGGGGGTTTTGCTTTGCCTTTCTGGCCAGCATACGAGCATATGAGAGATCTCATGGCCTTATAGATCCAGCTTTGACTTCCACAGTTCCCCTTAACTGCCATTCTTTAATGCACTTTTGCATACAACTGTGTGTTCAATGTATTTATGAACATATTTTTGAACCGTACAGAAATAATCAAACTGAATCTAACTGAAGTGAAATTTGAAATTTCTGAAAGTTTCCTAAAAAGAACCATGATGTCAGATATTTACACCAAACAGCCAACACACTGCAGCAGGAGCGCAAACAAAACAGAGTGTGTGTGTGTTGGAGGTTTGCTGTTAAACAGATATGGCAGTTTTCTCAAACTCTCAGTACACACTGTCCGAGAAAGAGACGACAAAGTTCCCATGACCAAACCCCTCCTCTCCTCCACTCCTTTAGATGCTCTCTCATTCCTTCTCTCCATCTGCTGATCTGTCCATCCCTCAGGTTCAGTTGAAATGGTAATAGTCCTTTCCCTCTGTGAGCTTCAGAGAAAGTAAAATATCCTCTAACACTCCACCAGTCATATCCTACAGAGAGAGAGAGAGAGAGAGAGAGAGAGAGCACATGTTAATATAGTTATGTATAAAGGAATGTACTCTCGCGCGTACACAGCTGTGTGGAGGTCAGTCATAACGTTCATTCTTGCTGCCAGCACATTATGGCTCTGCGCCAATCAGAAGGCAGCACCTGTGCAGCCCAGCCAATCACAGAAGAGCGTGACAGATTGATTAGTCAGCAGTGGAGAAAGTGAACAGTGATCAATGTTATCAGCCTTCAGTGACTCGTCCCAACGGAGCTTCATTAGGAAAACGAACAAGAAAAACATTCACAGAAAGACTGAAATAGAGATTATGATCAATGTGCTTTTTAACTGCTGAGTGTGTGTGTGTGTGTGTTCTTGCAGTGCTATACTTGTGAGGACCCTAAGTCCTCACTATGATAGGACTATATGACATTTTTGCTCAAGTAAGGAGATTTTGCTGGTCCTCAATTGAGCATGTGTTGTTTTCACCACAATTACTTGATTACTTGATTTATTTCAATTAAAAGTTGCCTTTTGGACAATGAGGTTAGGGTTAGGGTTAGGGTTAGGTTTAGATTTAGGTGTAGTATTATATAGCTACAATAACACAAAAATCAATAGAAACCTATGGACGTCCTCATATGCATAGCAAAACAAACGTGTGTGTGTGTTGGGGTGTGTTGGAGGTCTGTTACCTGACCCAAGTCTGACAAAATATCAGGTTTCAGGCTGAGTTTGAGCCAATTTACGTTACAGAATCAGGCTCAGGCCGGGCTCCAGTTTTCTAATGAGTGATTTTCTTTTGGAGGAACGCGACTATTTAAATTTTGCACATTCTCTTGCATATAAATGTGAATAAGTGTGCAGTTTAAGAAGTGGGTTAACATGAAACCAGGGATAAAGTTCAACAGTACATCAGTGTCAGTCACTGCATGGATGATGAGAGAAACGTGCTGGACTGGTGAAAGGCTCAGCAGATCTTTCCTCTTGCTTGTTAAAGCTGCACTCTGTACGTTTTGGGGATTTGGAGCCCTCTCTGGTGGAATGTGGGATGTGCAATTGCACAAAGCATATGGAGAAACATTCTGTAAGGTGGGTTGTGCTTGGACCCCTTTCGAAAGCTGTGCGCACAAAGAGAACTCAGTCAAAACCTGGTGAAGGGCGTGTCCTGAAAATTATCTACTACTGTCTAACTGTATGATGTTGTTTTTGGATTTGAAATGTATGTGACGAGTATACGTAAACACATTTCAGGCTTTGTAGGGTGACTCACAGCAGTGCACGCTCACCATGTTTTACTCAGTAACACTACTTCTTTCAATTTTAACAAGGTTTTTAACAGGTACAATCAGCAATCCCACAAAATACACTGATAATAAAGACTGTTAGTGTTCTACAGTACCAGTTTAGCCAGCATCACATTTAAGCTTCATTTTCATACCTGTGCAAACGTCTAGTGTCTGTGTTCAGTACTCACCAGTTTAACACACACTATAAATGGAGGAGATGCATCTCTGAAGTGCAGTATAGGAATCTTAGGCTTCGGTCGCTCCTGTCAGACAGCTTAAAAATACATAACATTACATACAAGGTGCATATTATTACAAATAGATACTTATTTTTTACACACACACACACACACACACACAGAGACATCATATATACATAAATATATATATATATATATATCCAGCTATTGTAAAACCTCATTTTTAACCTTTATGTATTCATATTTTTGAGCAAAGTCTGGTTCCACTGACTTACATTAAAATAAAGTACGTTTTTTCCTTCTCCTTTAAAATGATCGTTTAGGAGATACAAGGTTTTGTTCCGACAACAGCGACATACAGCACACACAGGACATACTACATATGTACTTATATATTTATAATACATACAAGGCATATTACTTCATATATATATATATATATATATATATATATATATATATATATATGGATAGATAGATAGATATAGTAGACATAGGGTTTATTATTATAACATATAAATATATGTAAGCTTCTATTCTGCAGAAAAGCCAAAAATATTAATACATAAAGGTTAAAAAATGAGGTTTTACAATAGCTGGATACATTGTGTATTTTCTGTAGGCTGTTTCTGATGTTTTTGTATGTATGTAGGTTATTGCATTTGTTTATCTTAACTTTGCTTGTTGCCACTTTTTAGGATTCAACTGACAACCATTTATTTTACGGTGTAGTTTCTGAAACATCATTCATTATTTGTTGAACATGGTGAAAAACCTCTGCGAACAGCGCAAATGTTGCCAGATATTTGAAGAATCTCACTTGTACTAACATGAACAACGCTGCCAGCATAAACAAACTGAAATCACTGATAAGTGAATATTTTACAACCAGCCAAAAAAAACAAAAAGTGGAAGTGAGCAAAAGAAAGCGAGGAGAGCGATAGAGCAGTGTTGGTGAAGAGAGGAGGCCTGCAGGAGGTTAACCAACTGCGGTAGCTGAGATAATAGCACAATATTATTACTTATTATCACCTTTAAAATGGTGGTTCATGGTTCATAAATGGCTTTCTGTTTTGGATAGGCATATAATACAATATTAAGTACTATATATATGTATGAATATATATATATATCGCTGTGTCAGAATAAAACCTCATATCTCCAATATATGTGACCCCACGTTTGTGTGTGATATTACCTTTGACTCCTCATACGTGTAGAAGCCCTTCTTGATCTTGTTCTCATCTACATCACAGAAAGCTCTGACCTGTCACACCCACACAGAGATGAGATCAGCTCAGCATTAAACTGTCACAGACACAGTTCTGGATCTATCCGATACAGAGTAACACTAATAGCTGCCATGGTAACGGGGGAAAATAAACACTGCCACTTTCAAGCCCAACTGCAGATCCACAACAGCAGCTCAGTGGAGAACGCTAACAGCTGCAGTGCGGCAATATAACATCATGAATGTCCAGCGCTGAACAGCGTGTAACAGTTCAGACACAAAAGTGACAGAAAGTCCTAAATCTGTATGTAAATAATAAAACACATGATCACCATAGCAGCATTTCCTGCATGTCCCGAATACGGTGCAGCTGCAGTCAGCCAACAGCAGACTTTACCACTTTACAACTCATTTTACCACTGTGAAGACAATGCTAGCTTTTACCAGCATCTCTATTGGATTTGCAATGTTATGTTATGTTATCTATCTGGGCTGTAGTCAGTATTCCACTAGGCTTCCACTTATGGTCAATCTAACATAGATACAGACACCGGAAGCACGTAGGAGTAGAGCTCTGCAAGAATCTGATCCCAAATGAAATCTATTTAGACAAACATAATAAAACCATTACTTTCTCATACCTTCTTCTGATTGGTTGGATTTAAGCTGCGGTACAGTTTCCGTCCTTGTTTCCCAGCATTCCATATGGTGAAGGAATCCCATTGGCTGAGCACTCGCTCCTGCAGGAAGTCCACCCGCAGGATCCAGATGGTTTCCCTGGAGGCAAACCACAAGTTAGAAGATACACCACAGGAAGTGTAGGGGGCAAAACGGCTTCTACTGTTTCATTTAAAAAGCTCTATAATGTTCATATGATCCACACAGTCACTCTGACAGACTGTAATACACTACAGGAAGTGTAGGGGGCGATACGGCTTCTACTGTTTCATTTAAAAAGCTCTATAATGTTCATATGATCCACACAGTCACTCTGACAGACTGTAATACACTACAGGAAGTGTAGGGGGCGATATGAATCGGGACACCAAGTTAAGTTACAGACTAAAGCAAAAATCCACAAAAGGCCATACGTTACAGTGGTTTTAACACAGTCTACAAATGATAGATAGATGGAAACAAATGATTCCTCCACCACACAATGTCACTCATTCACAGTAGTTGCTAGGCACCATAATAACATGGTGCATTAAAATTACAATTATGAGTGCATAAATGTGGATGTACAGTGAAAATTTTACAAAAATGTACACATTTGCATGCGGTTCAGTCAATTATTTGTAGCCCCGTCACAATACCAGGCTTTCGTGACCCTGTGCAGAGCTTTCGCTAACCGAAGCAAGCAGTCCATTATTACTATCTAGACATGTTTTCACAGAAAGTCCATTCTGTGGACAGAAAATAACTGAGACACTGGCTAAAACCACTGTGGCTCAAACCCAACACGTCAGTTTTCTGCACTATAGAAGAGCAGTGCAATGGCAGGAAGGAAAGATGAGAAGAGGAAAGAGAAAGAGAGCTGGAGGGAAAAGGAAGGTCTGTCTCTGTGTATTTAAAGAACTTCCTCTGTCTTTCTACACAGTGAACATGTTAAATACATACAACAGTGCAGACAAAATCCAGGCTCTGATGGCTGTTTTCATCAAAGCTAATATCAATGTCTACAGATAACAGTGTGTCATACAGCATCATAACCTGCACAAAAGTATTAGAGATTATCTGAAGAAGAATTCCACCAAATCTCTGCATAATTCAGCGATTAAAATGTAAACAAAGCCATTTAGTCTAGTCCCATGTGAAATCCAGCATTCTACAGGTCAGAACTGCTCACAGTGGTGGTGATAGGAACCAGATGTCTGATGAGTTTAACGCCTCTAAAAGCTCCCTCACAGAGAGTTATTACATAAGATGGTTATGAATGTGCGGCCTGATGCCTGAGACACCCTCTTATGATAGTTTTGAGATGAGCTTTTGGCCTAAAACATATGTTTTAAATCTATTTAAGGTGGAGGGGTGCGTGCCGGGTGTTGTGAGGCAAAATAGTCCCCAAAGAAAACATATTTTGCAGATGTTACCATCATCAACATTCCATATAAAAGCTCAGAAGACTCGTGTAGGTTCACTGGTGGTTTTGGTTAGTAAATAAAATGGCTTTGTGTTGTAGTCATGGCGACCCCTGGTTCCCATCACCACCACTGTAAAGACATCTGAGTTTCTACCCAACAACTATTTCGTACCAAACCACTCTGAATCACTTCACCACTGAATTATGTAGTGAAAAATTCACCTTTAACAACTCGACACGGTGTGAGGTGAGTGTATGTTTATCTAGGCATGCAGTTCGCATCACCCTAATTGATGCAATGTATGCTTCCGTTAATTGTTAGCTACTTTAGCTCCAGTGCTAAAGGTAAAGAAGCAAACTTCACTCACTCAGCATGTCTTGGCTGATGGACTACATTTAAGAGGAGTGCTGTACATTAGATTTTTGTCCCAAACTGTCGCTTTAGAACCTCGGAACTAGCACACACATTTGTAACGGGAGAGCATTTCTGACTGAAGTCATCCAGATGCTGCGCATTCGACAGGCTGCAGTGGAGATGCCGCTCATTCCGAGGTCCAGAAAACAGGAAGATTCCAGACATTCCGAAAGGAACGAGAGACACACATTCCCTGAACCTCAATTAGGAAGTCAGAGAGAGAGAGAGAGAGAGAGAGAGAGAGAGAGAGAGAGAGAGAGAGAATAAAAAATGATTTAACGCGTCTATACATTTAGCCTGTCTGCCTCGAAGCTCATTAAATCAAGTGAAGAAACTGTGGAAAGTGCAGGTTCTAAACTGTCGGTCCAGATTATAATTAACTGTGTGAGATATTTTATTATGAATTCAATTTGTTGAAAATTCGTTGTTGTGTGTAGTCTTGTTTTGCAAAAAGAAAAATGTTTACATCATAAATCCTTTAGATTTCAGCCTGTTTTTGTCATTTTTTTGTCATCAAAACAAACAGAATGTAATTTAAAGCAAATTAATTATGCAACTATGTAATTATCATGTAATTACATTTAAATATTTAAAGGCAAATGTTAAATATAGTTACGTAACTATGTAATTAATTATGTAATAAAATCTAAAGAATTAGATAAGTCAAATGTAAATGCTATTCATCATATAAATATGTAATAACTGTATAATTAATACAGCAATAAGCCACGAGAGGGTCACTGTGCCTAAAACTCCCTTTCTGTGATAAAACCACTGTAACGCAAGGCCTCAAGTGGCTTATTGCTTTCATAAAACAACGGCCAATGTGACATATGATAAAATACATGAATTTTCAGAAAATAATTTAAGTTATTAATAATAATAATCTACATAAACAAGTATTCCGCCAAGAAATGTAGGTCCCTTAGAGCATGGTGTCATTGCCAAGTGACCATGGACGGCTGAAGGAGGAGAACGTTCGGTCACCACTTCATGAACTTTTTAACTTTTTGTCGTATAACAATGAACATATGATAACACAGCACTGTTTAATACAAAAACTACTTACAAACAAAAGTACTAAAAGTACTTTTTGGTCACCAAATTACCACCACGAGTCTTATTTAGCACCAATCCAGCGGCCCCTCTTCTCATGCTGGGTCTGAATCTCAAACGGCTCCCTGCTCCCTACATAGTGCACTATGTAGGAGTTTAAATACTGGATCCTGCAGCCCAACAGAGCAAAATACAGCTAAGAAACAGTCATTTGGGACTCAGACTCATCCACACTCGATAAATGATGCACTGTTTGGCTGTAGAGACTAGAAAACACTATTTAGGGAGTACAGAGCCATTTGGAATTCAGTCCTTCAGGCTTTTGGCTGAAACACGAAGATCTGAAGTGTGTGAGTCATTCAAGTGACATTTTTAGACTTTTATACTGCTGTTTTTCAGTGAATCATACCATAAGTGCTTTAATTCAAGCCTGTGATATTAGTGATTTAGAGGAGTTGTTTAGGCTCTTAGCTCTTTTAGCCTGTTAGCTAGCTGACCAGCCTAGTTCCAGTTAAGAAAATAAGTTACCAGCCCCTCAGTTTAAACAGAAACTGGGTTCCTACTTCATCAGTATAAGAGTCAGCATGAGAGTCAAAGATTAACAGCACAAGGGTTTTTTCGTGCCGTGGGGCAGTGATACACAATTCAGTTGTTGTGAGGTGGTCGTAGGTGTTGGTGTATCGTGGAGGCTTCGAACGCAGCTCAGCCAATCAGATTTGAGGACTGGAACTATCCGTTTTATAAATGTAATAACCGGGGGATGTAAATGTAGGAATTAAGTCAAACTGACTGAGCAAATATCTGAGCACACTTGAAGAACTGCATGATGTAAAATGAACGTAGAGACAAGTGATTCACTGATTTCACTGAGTTAATCAAACTTAACAAGTGTTTTCCACTGTGTGTGTTTTCTTACTGAACGTATCTGATGTTAATTGAAAGAC